TTAGGGTTTAGGGTTTCGGGGCAGATGTCCAAGACGATTTGCCTTGGGGCGGGCCAAGCAGCAATTTCAACCACGGGCCGCCACTACCATCATTGCTACTGCAGGAGCCTGAATGAATGATTACCAATTACTAGTTTTTGTTTTTTTTTTTTTTGGGGGGGGGGGTCCTTGTTATATTTATGGTATACTGTACCCCCAAAACCCTATTCTAATTATTAGTTCTTCTGCATTAGACGACGAAACATTGAGTCTCTGTTGAGGTCGAGATCGAAACCTCAGGGCCCCACGGAACAAGACATGTTGTAGTGCATGTGCAGTGTTAAGCAAAGTAGAGCAGGGTAGAGTCTGGTAGGGCATAGGAGCAGAGAGTCATGGAGTGATAGCGAGTTACTGCCTCGTCTCCCGAACGACTCAGGAATCTTCAAGCTGAAGAGGACACCTGGGCAGCTGTACCGCAAACGCGCTTGCCGCCGCCTTCCACTTCACCCTCCACAAGATGACCGTGGAGGACTCCCGCAGGTGAGGGTGTGGGGCTTGGGGGTTTGAGGATCTACCCTGTAAACCCCACCTGTGGCCCAAAAGACCTGCCTTTGTTTTGCGAAATATATATATATATACATACACACATATATATATATGATAGAGACCATAGTAAGGACTCCTAAGAAGGTAGGTCTTTCAGCTACAGGTAAACCCTAAGCGCTTAGGGTATAGGGTTCCGGGTTTAGGTGTGAGGTCCCCCGCATCGCCCTTACTGTCTTCGACTCCTTCCAGCTCTGTCGTGGTATTAGGCCCCGACTCCTAAACCCTAAACCCTAAACCGAGACCTAAACACGAAATCCAAACCGCCTGCACGGGTATAGGGTTTGGCAAACCCGCTCCGTGGTCTTGGAGGGTTTCGCGTTTAGGAGAGTCGAGTTAATGTGGCAGGATTGTTGGTTCAGGGTTTAGGGTTTGGGAGGGTTGATGCATGTTGATGTGTATTTAGGTGACCTTTAGGTGTAGTATGAAGCAGACGGCTCAACTTACACATGTCCTTCAATACGGATACCAAACGACAGTTTCCTGCATCTTGTCTACCCTTGACTCTTCTCGCGAGGACCACCCGTACTTCAAGGATTTTACTCCCAGCCGACTGCAGCCAGACAGAGATCAGGACCGAACATGTTAACTGTTGGGGGGCTCCTTATGGCTGTTGTGAAGGTGCTTGTCTGGGTCCCTAGAAAGAGCGGTGCAGCCTTGTGCTGCGCTTCGGGGGGGTAGGGTTTAAAGAGTGCAGCTGATTAAACTCGTGCTAAACCCCCCCCGGCTCCAGTATCCCCTAGGACTATTGCACAGTTCTAGGTGTCAAGACTCGCTGAAAAAGCTGAACCACTAGTAACTAACTCTAATCCAAGCTCTCAGTTCTCTTCGGGTGCAGAGCTTTCGATCGGAGCAATATCTCGGCCTGAATTGTTAATTGCACTTGTCATCATCTGTGATGGCAATTCCTGTGGTGCAACCTTCTTCCTCCGTTTGGGCAATGATGACAGTCGTACTTTTCACTGCACACATGCCGCCCATGCCAGCACTGCTGTTGCTGTCGGCATGCTGAAACCCTAGCAGCTAAAACGAAGGCTGGGGCACGTCGCTGAGGTTCATCTACTACAACGAGCGTCTCGTAGAAGGCTCTGTAGACCACGACGCTGGAGCATGCCTCCGCGACGGGATCAAGGCTGCCCGCAAAGCCTAATTAGGATTTGAAAAAGCGAAGCCTTTGGGTCCTAAGGTTTAGCATTTAGGGGTTTAGGGTTCATGTTTCGGGGATCCTGGTTGTGGGTCGTAGGAGTTGTGGGTGCTCTGGTCTGTTGCTTTTTTTCAGGCCTATAGGGAAGCGACTCGGTCTAGGGCACGGGCATCAGGCATCGTACATCAGTACTGCACTCGTGTGATATGTCGGTTTTTGTTTTGTCACCTAGCCTAACCCGCCCGCTGCCCTGCCACAGACCATGGCACAGATTGGAGTGTGCCCAGAACTCAGCTGGAAGACTCTCGGTTGCAGCAAGCTATTTCTGGCAGCTTCAACGTGAGCATGAGTTCACTGCAATGCACACGTGGTCGATACCCTGAGCCCTCAACCCTAAACGGGAGACCTTTCAACAATAATCCTACGTGAAGGTTTGCAATACTAACTAACATCAGTAGGAGGATCATAAGCATGTCGATTCGGGGTTGTAAGTTATCGGCAGGTATAGTATCAGCGGCTGCGGTGGCAGTGCTGGCAGTGGCGGTAGTAGTCGTCGTCGTCGTCGTCGTAGTAGTAGTAGTAGTAGTAGTTGTTGTTGTTGTCGTCATAGCAGGAGGGGCTGCAGCAGCAGCAGTTAGGTAAATGCAGGAGTAGGGGCTGCAGTAGAAGTAGAGGAGTCGGGGTCGGAGTAGGAACAGGAGTAGGCGGAGGTGGCCAGAAGTAGGAGCTGGAGGAGTAGAAGAGCAGAGGAGCAGAGGAGTAGAAGAGCAGAGGAGCAGAGGAGTAGAGGAGAAGTGCAATAGAGGAGTAGGAGTGAGTAGGAGTAGGAATAGGAGCAGGAAGAGGAGGAGGACGGGCAGGAGCAGCCTTTCGTAAGGTGCCGTTTGCAGTTCCTTCCACGTCTAGTGTGTTTTCGTCTTCGAGTACTGTCGTTTCTGTTGTAGGATGATCCTCAGCTGGTCAAAGGTACGACGACAAAGGCGACTTCTTCAAGCAGGAGGGGGAACAGCATTCCGAGATCCTGTGCATAAGAGCTCCTCTATCCTGACAGAATCCTAGCTTTAAGCTCCGGTGAGCGCTGAAACCTAAACTCTAAACCCTAGCCGAGCCCTAAGCCACAGCAAAACCGATGGATTTCATGAAAGCTTCAAAAGTGAGAAGCTTGGCTGAAGACGCACAGTATAGCACGTAATATGCTCTCGATCCTTAATATGGTAACTAGAATTACAGATTCACTGACAAGAAGCAAAACAAAACAAACCCTCCACCCCCAAACCTTGATGTCATGACGCCTTAGGAGGTGTGACGTCAACCTTGGGTTCCGCCTGTCCAGCTTGTGTTTCAGAGTTTAGGGTGTGGCGTAGGATTCATCGCCTCGGGCTTGGGGTGTGGACCCTGTGGAATCCCAAGCTTGCCCAAAAAAGCCAAGGTTCAATCCTCCGCTCGCCAATGATGAAGGATCTCCTAACTCCCAACCATAGGCTCTAATCCATATCTCAGAGGTTCGGGTTTAGGCTCCAGGAACCTCCTTATGATCTCCCGCAACAAAGATGAAAAAAGCAGGTCCTTCATCTTCTAGGACCGACATAGTACCCCAAGGACCAACCTTTATGGCCATAGAAGCCTTGCAGCCAGCCTGATCATCACCTGAATGTAATCCTGAGCCCCTATAAACCCTAAGCCCCTAAAAGCTTGGACCCTGAAGCCCTTAAGCCCTATAGACCCTAAATGAAACCCTACAAAACCCTACGCCCAAATCCTCGACTTGCCACCAAAAGCCGAGTTCCTTGAACCCTAAACCCTTAAGCGCTTTTTCCCCTAGAGACAGGAGCCGGATTGGACCTGCTACGAGCTTGCCAAGACTCCTGGCATCCAGCTGGGCATCCGCAGACCCAACTTTAGGGGTTCAGTTCAGGTATTTAGGATTTAGGGGTTTAGGGTTTAGGGTTGGGTAGGATGTAGGGGTTTTAGGGTTTTGGGTCTATAAGGGCTTGCGGGTTTAGGGTCTTAGCGCCCTGAAAGTGATCGCCGCTCCTTCCTTCTGCAGGTTTAGGCTGGCTTTAGGTCTTTAGGTTTTGGAGGTCTTGAGCATTTTGAGAGCCAAGCAGCGTGAGGGAAGGCGACACTACTCTTCAACCCTAAGCCCTACACCTCGTCCCTTTATCAGGACTTTCCTGGGTTTCTTTCGGGGCTTTCGGTCAAAAAGGATGTGTTGGGTAGTTGCCGGGTGTTGTCAGAGGTTCAAGGCACTGCAGGTTGGGGGTGTGTTGTGTATCGCTTTGAGACATGTGCACCTTGTCGGTGCTTCGGAGGTGGAGTCAATTTCGGAATGGGGGTTGCGAGAGGGAGGTCGAATCGATGTTGGGTGTTTGTTTTGCGGCTATGCCAGCCTTAAGCCGTTGATGTTGCAAGTGCCGAATCCAAGAAACCCTAGGCTTTTCGGCTTTAGAGCTGCAAAGCCCTAGCCTGAACGACTACATCCCTAAAGCTTCAGCTCCAATCCTCCGAGGTGCAAGTTTGCATGGTGTGGGGTTCATGGCCCAAGAGTGTTTCGGGAGACCCGCGTGGCCTTCGAGCTTCGGGTATAGCATACCCAGGCCTCATCCCCATACGATCCTTCTGTGGCTGTAGTGACTACAGTGTCAAAAAATCCGTTAAATTGAAGGCTTCTCCTGACCGGACTCGTTCAGGCCTCATGTTCGGATCGAACCCTATAAAGCCCAAACCCAAGCCATGGATTTGATTTGGGATGCGGAAGGCCGGGCTGTACATGTCGGGGTTACCGTCGGGACTTAGGGCTTAGAGTTTCCGGTTCAATCCGAGAAAATAGACCAAACGGGGTGATGCTGGCAACAAGATTTCGGAGTAGGTAACACGTAAGGTTCGGCGTTCTGACCCAGCACTTCGCGAAGCCTCGAGCCCCAAAACCCTGAACCCTGGAAGTCCTTGAAACCCTAAGCTTTACCAAGCACTAGAGGCCTCATACCCTCAACCCCTGAAGGCCACCAGACCCCCTAGAAGACCTATAAACAACCATGTCCGAAATAATAGCAAGAGCATCTCCTTAAAGTCCCTGCAAAGATTTTATCCCATCTTACCTTAAACTCTATACCTACACCCCAAGAGCGACCTACTTACACCCCAGGAAGTGCAAGGTCGTCGGCTATGCGAGGGTGGCGCAGGACTTGAACAACCATCATCACCTTTTCCGAGCTTTGGATGGTGTAGGAGGTTTGGGAGTCTTGGGGTTAGGGTAATCGTTCAGGGTGCTTTGGGTCGAGGGGAAGGCTTCACGCCCAAGGGTTAAGGGTTTGGGAAGGTTGGGGTTTAGGATTTCGGGCTTAGGGTTTGGCGTTTCTAAAGGGTTGTTCCATGTCATAAGAGCTTCATACAAGCCCAGGATGTTCAGAGTTCCGAGAACTGGATGAACGAAACCGTGCGACTCGGAGAGAGCATGTATTGGCAGCGCTTTCTTGTCATGACACAACCCAAGACCCACTCTGAGTACGAGCTGCTTAGGAGAGCCTCCAGCCCTGCTTCAGAGTAGGGTTTCTGCACCCAGACCAAGTCACCTTAAACCGCTCCAGACCTCCATTGGAAAGTAGTCCAATGCTTTGACTCTGACGTCACAAGTCCCGTGAACAGGAGCTGACACAGATGAAGATGTGCATCAAGAGTCTCGTTTGCCAAGTCGGATACGGATACCGGTTGTGGTTGTCGCGAAGTTACACACACAAGGCAGTAACATGCCTTAACCTGAGCCTCTGCCCCTATCTGGGCATTGATGAACATTTAGGACCCCATCATCGTTTAGACAGGCGGGGACCCCAATCTCTGTTCTAAAGCCCTAGAGTCTCTAGAGCCGCCGCCAACTTGACTCGGCGTGCTACATACTATAGAATACTACAGAAGCCTGCAGAATTACAACAATTAGAGTATATCGAGAATACACCAGAGCCCTTGTCTAAGCATTCAAGGCCCCTAGATTACACAAAGGCCTGCGCCAAAGAATTCCGACTAACCGACATCGACGCCGACCCAGAAGCCCACATCATCAGACGCAAGGGTTTGGGGTTTGGGGATTACTAAACCCTATTTAGGGTTTGGGGTGTTTACTAAAGCCTAAACCTTGAACCCTAACCCCCATGCCCTGCACTGTCTTTTTTCTCTCACTACTGGAGGAAGGGGCCTCAGATTTGTCGGATTAGAGTAGTTCAGGTCTTTCGGGGCATTTGGAGCATTGCATCGGAAAGCTTCCTCCCGAAGCTTGACGGGGAGGCCACCGACTCGAATCAAAATGATGGTAGCTCATTCACAGCAGAGTGCGGGGCGATTAGCCTCCACCGAAATCTATTCCCAGGCGACAAGGGGTCATGGGAGTTCAACCCAGGCCCTGAACCCTGCAGCCTACAGATATTAGACTTGTTCGACCCTACAACAAAGCTTCGATGATTCCCGCAAACTTATGGCATTGTTAATGCTCTCGCGTCCCTTCTGTGAACTTTACGTAGGACCGTAAACTAACCCGGAAACCTGAAGCCATACTCCCAACGTGAGGAACGGATACCCCTTCGTTTTTGGTTTCGTCGTCTATCCCAGCTTTTCCAAAGCAGCGGCGGACGGAAAGATTCTCGGGCGTGTTCTAGCAACAGCGCGACTGAGTAACCCTTTCAGAAAGTTTAGGGTTTGGGCTTCATTGTGCCGGTCTGATTCCATACCTTACGAGCCGGGGGGGGGGAGGGGGAGGCCCTCGATGAGATCCTACGCCAGGCGGACGAGCTACTCAACACCTGCAGGGCTCACGATACGAATGCAGGAATGTTGATGTCTAGAAGAGTAAAGATCCCAAACCCCAAACCCTAACTCCCTACCCCCTCAAAAACAAAAAAACTAATACTCAGGTCTAGAACCCTCGTGTTTAGAGCAGTTTAGGGTTCCGGATCAGGGCCTGGAGCCGCAGACCTATATAAGCGCGAGACTCCCAGGCTTCTCGCGTCTCGGGGTCCTCGCAATAAGCATGCTGCTAGAAATGACTCATGGACGTAGTTCTCTAGATTGTGGTCCCTATTGGGGGTCCCCAATATAGTACGGCACCCTATTTCAAAAGGACCTCAAAAGGGACCCTCATTTAGAAAACTGCCCATGTGTTTTGGAGCTATGAAGAAGTCCGAAGTGTAAGGCTAACCACCAAGAGAGCCCGCAGTCAATACTTCGAGCCATAAAGCCGAAATTCCTGGAGACCCTCAGCTGAAGTTCCTTTTAGGGTTTTGGGCCTCACTGTTTAGGATTTAGGGAGACTCAAACCATTCGACTGCTCTGCTCGTCTCAATTTAGAGCTCAGCTGCTGCTGCTGCTGCTGCTGCTGCTGGCCTGGGGCCTTTACCCCGCAGCCGTGGACATACTGCTTTGGGGTTTAGGGTTTAGGGCTGCTGATGAACAAACTCCTGCACTGTTTGAGGTAGTGCCGGATTTGGTGATGTCGAACTCAGGTCTGTTAAAACCCCCCGAAAAGCCGTCTGATGCCTTATACCCTCAACCAATCGACCTCCGAAGAGCCCACGAAAGCCTGATTGAAAGCTGGAACCCTAGATTAAACGCAGAGACCTGAACCCTGAACCCCAGACCCTGCACTGAACCCTAAACCTTTGGAGCGGTTGAACAAAAAAAGGCCTAAACCTTGAACCCGAAACGGTTGCTGGCCAACTTCAAAACGAGACTTTGCTTGAGCATAGGCCTAAACCTTATAAACCTTAAAGCCTAAAATGCACAAGATTCCTCAGGATGTGCTTTCCGGAAGCCGGTGAGCAACCTCGGGGAGGCCACGCAGCCCCGAGGATGCAAATCTTGCAATACTTGTTCGTTTGGGGTGTGGGGGGGGGGTTAAGGTTTAGGGTTTAGGGTTTAAGGGGGGGGCGACCTCAGGACTCAAGGGTTTGCGGTTTAAGGTTCAGGGCTTTGGGGCTTAGGGTTTCCAAGAAGCGGGCTGAGTGGGTCTGCCTTGCAGATCTCGTAAGGCAAGACGTCAACAATAAGACCTACACAGAGGTTATAGGTATACGACGTTTTATCTACAGAAGCGCAGTACGTACAGCTTAGGATGACTCAGGGTGTATCATTAGCATCGGCTAGAACGGGGTTTCGGAGTGAATACCCCAAGGCCCTACTGTCATGTATATAGTAGGGACTATAGGGGGACACTCTCTATAGGGCCAGGGGGTTTCAGAGCGATTGAAGCTGTACGGGGCTCTAGGACAGTACCTGGCTGAACCTGTCCACATGTTGAATCCTGAACAGGGAAGTTCGGCACACCTAGGATGGTGGTTTCGGGTCCTGGGTGTTCTCGGTTTGGAGTGTTGGGGCTGTTGCCGAACGGTTTTCAGTGTTCGGGGTTTCCGGTTTAATTTTGTTGGAGAGGGGCGGCTTGAAGTTATGGCTTATAGTTTTGGACCGAAGAGCAACACCTGGGTGAATATAGGAGGAAGACGATTAGTAATCACCAATACTATTCCGTATGGCTGCTATGTTGAATTTCTATTCCAATGAAGACCCCTGCAACCCGTACATTAAAACCCTTATAGGGTCTTGTACCCTAAACCCGAAACCCTAAACCCTAGTGCGCTTTGGCGGAGCCCTGTTCAAATTACTAAGGCCCGTAGCTAAAACCTAGACCTTTGACTATCGAACTCAAGAGATCCCTTTTAAAGGAGCTGTCTGGTTGTTGGTGCCTCCATAGCAACCGAAGCCTCAAAATCCTTACTAGAGAACTCCATATGGGTCGTTCTCTAAATTAGGGTCCCTTTTGGGGTCCTCTAACTAAGGGTGCCGTACTATATTCGGGACCCAAAAAGGGACCCTAATTTAGAGAACTACTTGAGAACTACCCCTTTAGATCCCTGGGTTAGCCCTTAAACGAGCCCCGATTCTAGCTCTTCACCCCCTGTGTTACCAGAACCCCCCCTTGACAACCAAGGTGACTGCAGTTGGCTACGACGACTTCCAGGATGATTGTAACGGGTTCAGCTATGAGGCTCAAAAAATCGTAGGACTTAGGGTTTCTGCAAAAAATCGTAGGACTTAGGGTTTCTGGTTTAGGCCTAGGGGTTTCGGGGGTTAGGCAATTATATTGTATAGGGACGAGAAGAGTAGAAGAGTGGTTTAGGGTTTAGGGTAGTGCCACTGCTTTCGGACTTTAGGAGTAAGTATGAGATTACAGATGTTCTAGGACGCTAGACCTTCGGCCCGGGTCTGTGAGGGTAGTTTCCGAAAACAGGGGACCCTAATATAGTACCCTAAATAGTAGGATCCTTATTCTAAGGACCCCAAAATGAGGTACCCAGGTACCCCCTAATTTTCGGAGAGTCTCATGTCTGACTTCCCCAAATGTTGTAAATCAGGAACCAGCAATCTGAACTGGCGAAAGCACTGATTAGGTGGTATGCCTCCAGTTTGCTGTCGGGGCGCGAGGACAATGAGATTCCACCCCTGTGGAAGTTAGCGGAGGCTTACGTCCATGCATGACCATACGCATGGCTTGAAGAGGATTTAGGCTGAGGGTAGGGTTTGGAGTTTGGGATGTAGAAACGCGGGAGGCTTCTACCACATACCAGCTGCGGAACTTAAACTCTAGTCGAGATACGTCTGACATGTCTTGTAATACTGAGCCCTGGAAGCCCTGAACACGAACGACACATGCTACACCTATGCCACAGCTCCTAAACCCGACGCACTAAACAGCAAGCTCCGAACCCCAATACCCTGACACCCTGTCAAGGAGTGCTTCATCGTCCGAAACAGCTGGGGCGAGGGGTGGCCCCTGACGGAGTTTGGTTCCTGTAATGCAGGGGCCTAAATAATTGCCAATACTATTTAGGGGGTTCCTTCTTATAATGATGGTATAAAATACCCCTAAACCCTAAACCCTAAACCCTAACTTGAGGCCCTATTCTAATTATTAAGTCCCTTAAAGTAGGAGTTCCCAGGGTGTCGGGTGTTGGGCTTGCACACGCAGGGAGGGGTTCCTTTTAAAGCGCCGACCACCTGCTTGTCATGTTTTATCGGCGAGTTTTTTTTTTCTGACCTTTCAGGTGATAGTCAAGGGGACATTATTGAACTCCAAACCCTAAACTCTCGTGTTTCGGACCATCCGGTGTAGGGTCTGAAAACTTTAGAGGGCCCTCTGGGGGCTTGAGATCTTATAATTCACAGGTTGCAGGGGATTCACTGACATGTTATGGTTACACTTTCGGGCCGCCGGGTTTAAGATATCGGTTTGCATGAACCCAGGGACTCCAAATCCCTGTAATGGAGGAATATATGGATGTTTAGGGAGTCCTGTAATGTATTTCCATAGGGGTGCATGTTCAGGAATATAGTGATTTATGGTGTTTAGATGCGTTTAGAGCTTGTTTCTATGGGGGTTATACTGAGGAATATTGTGAGTTATGGGTTGTATAATTCAGTTGTTTCTATTGGGGTTACAATACGTGACACACCTTGTTTCATACTCAGGACCCCTCTGCATTTGTATGCTGCCACATATTGCTATCTTCATCCTTGACCCTAAACCCTAAACCCCCAAACCCCTAAACCCTGAACCCTAAACCCCTAAACCCTAAACCCCTAAACCCCTAAACCCTAAACCCCTGAACCCCTGAACCCTAAAGGACGTGTTTTTTCGGACGTTCGGAGCCTGGAGGCTCCAGGAAGCCCTGCTGTTGTTGCCAGGTGGGGTGACAAGGGATACTTCTACATGCCCTACGTCCCTTGGCGTGCTCGTCCCTGGGAGGTTGCCTAGAGGGTTGGGTCTTCGTCGTTTGGGGCTCTTAGGGTTTTTTCGGGTTTGTGGGCTGTTGTGTTTGCGGGGTTGGCTGAAGGGGTAATCGGAAAGTCAATTATCCGAAATCCAGACCCAAACAAAGCCCAGGAGCCATTCCATCGCGACACGGGAGGACCACATTAATCCCTGAGAATTACAGCTAGATGAGGTGCCAAGCAAGTGGCTCGAAGCCCTACGACCCCCCGCCCGTAGTGAAGCCTCGGGCTTCGTGTAGGGGTCAAAATAGTAAGTCAGATCCCAAGACTTGGTCTTAGGCTTTGGGATTTAAGAATTTAAGGTTTAGAGACTAGCCTGATAGCCTCCTCAGGCTGCAACATGCAACAGACACTTCTTCATAATCAGACCGCTGAGCAGTGGACGCCTAGTGAGGGCGGAATCCAGTCCAGGACTTAGGCATCAAGATCCCGGTAGAAAGTCCTAAGCTCCAAACCATAGTCTCTTAATCCTTATGGTACCCTGTATAATGGAACCTCGTAGTACCCTTTATAAAGGAACCCCTACGTACAGTATTTCTATACCAGAAGTGCAGACCGACGGCACAACCCAGGAGTATATCTGCAATCCTGACCTCGCGCACGACTTCTGGTCCATCGAGTGGGTCAAGTCCTTCGAGGATGCAGGACGCTGTGGAGTTGAAGCTTTAGGGTGTAATATGGGAGTTTCCAATGATAAGGGGTAGCTTATAATAAGGATCCTACTATTTAGGGTACTATGTTAGGGTCCCCTATTTTCGGAAACCCCCATATAGGGGCCTAAATCAATAGGAGTGTTGGCGCGGGTATATTTTGCAGCGCAAGAGTTGGGCTGCAGAGTAACAAGCCTGGAGTACATCGACAAATTCCAAGACAGGCCGAGCTCTGACCGCACTGTCTTTGATATCCATGTCATACCTACTTTGCCCGACATCGAGTAGATCATCCCAGGGGAAATGTTTGGGTTTGTGTTCTTGGGGCATGGGGCCTTTGTCTGTGTGGTTCATGACTTTCATCTGAGAGGCCGTGAAACTGTGTTATTTTGACGGCTGACGGCAGCAAAGGTCCCCGTGTTTAACACGAAGTAACTGGGCTCTCAGCTGGCCGACAAACTCATGCGACTGAGACCTCGATTCCTCTCCAATCAGTTAGTAAGGGTTTAGGGTTTTGATTTGGGTGGGCTTCGCAACAGCTGTTAGGTACTTAGCTGTAAGCCCTCAGCCTTCTGCGTTAGGCTGCTCGCATGGCTTTGTCGTGGAGTCACCCTTTGATAGGGATACACATGCGGATGCGATGAGTAAAGCGCCCAGAGCCCGAATTCCGCAAACCGTAAGACCTATACGACCCTTAGAAATCTGCTTCAAAACTGCATAAAATCCGTGTAAGACCGTAGAGAGCTTTAAGCACAGCCCCAAAAAGCTCCATGAACGCCTTAAAAGAAGGTTGAAAACAGCCGGAAAAACTTTCAAACACGCGAAGTCGACAGCCTTTTCTCGAGCTGCAGGCCCGCTTTAAGCGGGGCCTTCGCACGAGGTGAGAGGGAGGGAGACCTTGAACCCTAAACCCTAAACCCGAAACCTCACCCCTAGACTCGCAAACAGACTCCTGCACCCATTCAATCTCGGGTCGGGATACTGTAATCAACAATAGCATGCCCTTTTCGTTCCTAGAAACATTGACAGTATACCGTAATATGCCAAAACACTTTTTCTAACCCTCTAGTTACTAAGGCCCCTATATCGAAACCCTGACAGTCTCTTTATAGAACACACCCTTATGAAACCCTGAAAAGGAACCCTATTCTTATGATTAAGGCCCCGGGACGCGAGACGTACCGAGGGGCCCCACACCCTAAGACTCATTTAGGGTTTGGGGTTTAGAGTTTAACTCATTTGGGGGTCCTTATAATAATGACCCCTAGTTTCTGAAACTGTTGTATTGCCTGGGACCCTAATTTATACCCCATTATGGACCCTGAAGCTCTCAACCATACAAC